ACGAAGAAATTTATTACTGATGCTTTAGGATCTACATCATACTGGAGTGAGAGAGATAAGGAAGTGCAAAATAATCCCGGTGAAGAGCAGGGGTGCAGTGGGTACGATAAGGGAACAATGTATCAACATCCTTGGCCCCAGGCTTTAACATCTTATCAGAAGATATCAGAAACTGCTGGAGCAAGTGTAGTAGTCTTTAAGAGGAAACTGGACAAGTATCTTCACCAGGTGCCGGAATAACCAGGCTGTGATGAATATGTGGATCACCGGGCCACCAACAGCAACAGCCTGATTGACCAGGCAAACATAAGACGAGCCTGTCATATGGCCGGGCTCCGGGAGTAGAAAGACTGAATTCATCAAAGAAATCTTTAGGTCATGTGGAACTTCAGGCCTAAACACCGGCAAAGGCTGATGCCTCACTCCCTGAGTCAGCACGTCTGCACAGCAACACAGACACTGGGATGATGGTAGTGCCACTAACAGCTTGGTTAATTACGCAGGCAGTCAACAAGGAAGGATGGCCTTTGGCCGGTTTCTGAGGGTAGGACTCTTGATATCGGTCACAGGTATGTGATGGTGATAATCCTGGTGGTAATGGTTGTACTGGTCAACCTCGCAAATAAGGTTAATTAACCTTATATATTGCATTGTCGCACCATGAATGATACTCGTGCACATTTAAACGTTGAAGATTGAGACACTTATGCAGCATATGGGAATCTTTATTCAGGAAACGTTTCGCCACACAGTGGCTTCATCAGTCCAATACAAAGAGGAAGGCGCAAGGAGAGGAGTATGAGGTAATCAGTCCCTCAGCCTGGAGTCGATGTGTTCAGTCCATCAATCTTGTAGAATGTACAGCATAGGGCCGTAGACGTGGCTTATATACTGAAGTGAGGAGAGGTGAAGCAGGCGGAGGCGGGGTCATAGTGGTACCATCCACTAGTTGAAGTAGGTCTTCGTCCAAAGGTTGAACAAGTGTTGAAGAATTCTTTGTAAAAAGATCCCATGATGCTGCAGTGTCTGACAGTTGTGATGAATGGTTTGAAAAACCGACAAGTTGAAGATTGAGACACTTATGCAGCATATGCATAAGTGTCTCAATCTTCAACTTGTCGGTTTTTCAAACCATTCATCACACATTTAAACGTCTCCTGGTGCTGCTTGCAGCGCTGTATAGTCCTTGTGGCTTAGCGCTTCTTTTTGATTATAATAATAATAATTCCTGGTGCTGCTCTGGTATACCACTGCCACACCTTGCAACCTTGGTCTTATTTGCTTATTTATGATATATTTTCAAGTTTGGTCCCCGAAACCCTCTCCAGGTATACTCCAGGTAACCTAACCCAACTTAATTTAGCCTACCCCAGCCTATCACAATATAACACTAATAAACCCACCCTAACCTAACTTAAAGAAGACATTGTTTGTTAATTTACATGAAATGTTAAGAAACTGACGTTGTTAATTACGCAAATAAATTACTACAGTAAAATAAGTATCAGTTTAGTGTTATCGTGTTGTCACTAGTCAGTACTGTTATCTCAGTTAATATTTCTGAAATTTCTGAACGTTAAAAATATTTCTTTGCATGAGAAATTAAGTTCCAGATTGCCACTGAACTTTGGGAGTTTATGCATTTACATAAGAACATAAGAACATAAGAAAGGAGGAACACTGCAGCAGGCCTGTTGGCCCATACTAGGCAGGTCCTTTACAATTCATCCCACTAACAAACATTTGACCTACCCAATTTTCAATGCTACCCAAGAAATAAGCTCTGATGTGAAAGTCCCACTCAAATCCAACCCATCCCACTCATGTATTTATCCAACCTAAATTTGAAACTACCCAAAGTCCTAGCCTCAATAACCCAACTAGGTAGACTGTTCCACTCATCTACTACCTTATTTCCAAACCAATACTTTCCTATGTCCTTTCTAAATCTAAACTTATCTAATTTAAATCCATTACTGCGGGTTCTCTCTTGGAGAGATATCCTCAAGACCTTGTTAATATCCCCTTTATTAATACCTATCTTCCACTTATACACTTCGATCAGGTCTCCCCTCATTCTTCGTCTAACAAGTGAATGTAACTTAAGAGTCTTCAATCTTTCTTCATAAGGAAGATTTCTAATGCTATGTATTAATTAAGTCATAAGAACATAAGAACATAAGAAAGGAGGAACACTGCAGAAGGCCTGTTGGCCCATACTAGGCAGGTCCTTTACAATTCATCCCACTAACAAAACATTTGCCCATCCCAATTTTCAATGCCACCCAAGAAACAAGCTCCGATGTGCAAGTCCCACTCAAATCCAACCCCTCCCACTCATGTACTTATCCAACCTAAATTTGAAACTACCCAAAGTCCTTGCCTCAATAACCCAACTAGGTAGACTGTTCCACTCATCAACTACCCTATTTCCAAACCAATACTTTCCTATGTGCTTTCTAAATCTAAACTTATCTAATTTAAATCCATTACTGCGGGTTCTCTCTTGGAGAGATATCCTGAGAATTGAGTTTATTTATATTATAAATATTGTTATCGTAAATGAGATAGTGTGTGTGGTTGTAGGGGTCGAGTCATAGCTCCTGGCTCCTGTGTATGTGTGTGTATGTTTGTGTGTTGGGGAGTAACGCAATAAGTGCCACGTTGGCACTCCCGCCTTCTCAGCGGTGCCTTTTAACCTTAACATGCCTTGCCTCCTGTTTATTTCTCTAATTGTATTTACTGGGGTTGAAGCACGACTCTTGGTCCCATTTTTCAACTTCTATCGACTAATTATACTGAATTACGTCCTCCGTGACGAAGCCATATTTATTTCTGACTACTGCTTGTTCTTCTAGGTCCTAGGACATTCCACTTGCCATCCCGAGATTTAAAAAGGTCATTCTAACATCCCTATGACTCATTTGCATCTTTAGCTGCCATCTATTCCAGCTGGTTCACTCATCTCAAACACCCAGTTCCTATCCACTTTGCAGTCTTATCTATAAGCTCCTGAAAGCATTTCTTATGTTAGCTATTTTTTATGCATATGCTGCTGCCTTTTGTGTGGATGCTTTGACACTGGTGAAGGACTTCTGATATGAGGAACTAGAACTGCTCTCTTGCTTAGATCAAACCTGCTTGCTTCTCGTTACCCACCTGCTATATGTTGTTATAATAAAAAAGAAGCGCTAAGCCACAAGGGCTATATAGCACCTGCTATATGACTTAATGGGTTTGGCATCCCACCCCTCAAGGGTGGACGCTGGTGAAGGGCTCTCGATCTAAGGAATTGGATCTGTGCTCCGGTTCCCTGAATTGAACCTGAATACCTTCCATCCCCACATGCGCTGTATAATCCTACGGGTTTAGCGCTCCTCATGATTATAATAATTAGTATCTCAAGAGAGGTTCTTTGATGTCAGTAAGGGAGAGGGGCGCTTGATCCAAGGAATTTTGCCTGACCTCCCTCTTGAATCAAACCTGAATGCCTCCCATTTCCCCCAGATGCTGTATGACTCCATAGGGTTTAGCACTTCTGGATCAGGCCAGGAAGCAGAAGGCCTGGTCTGGGGTCGGGTCACGGGGGCGGTGACCCCTGGAAACATCTACTGGCAACCTTTGGGTGCACTGCTCAAGTTGTGTAGTGATTGTGTTTCTTGTGATGGGCCTTGTGTGAAGTCTGAACATCTTTAGTGTAACGCCTCCCAGGCTATATTCTGTGCATCTATTCTTTTCATTTCTTCTGCTGTTCTCATTACTCTCTAAGTAGCTACTTTCCTGACCACTCTTGCAGCCTATTTAAGTTTTTTTTTATGGGAGCCTCGTACTCATTTCACATCATTTGCAACAGTGATATGGTTAAAACAGTTCCTGACAAGGCACTTTGTTATTATTATTATAATCATGGGGAGCGCTAAACCCGTAGGATTATACAGCACATGTGGGGGAGGGGGATGGAAGGTATTCAGGCTCAATTCAAGGAACTGGAGCACAGATCCAATTCCCAAGATGAAGAGCCCCTCACCAGCATGAAGGAACCTCCCTTGAGGGGAAGGCACTTTGTACCATTCATACTAAACTTAATCAGCGCTATGTAACAAGGAAATTGTACTGGATAAAATGAAAAACAAAAATATGAGGACATACTTTTATTTCATTAATAACAAAAATATGGGGAATGCATGATACTGGTAAAGTACCACTTATGCAAGGTTACTGGGAGGGTCTTATATAATGCTATGGGATTTGTTGGAATACCCATGGCCAGGGCCCAGATGCTTCTGTCAAGCTAGCTTATTCCGTCATAATGAAGTAATAATAAGCTCTTGTATTACCCGTTCCTTTTCAGGTGAATGGGTAGGGTTGGAGCAACATCATAATACTACATAGGATTCAATTTCTATTGACAGGTCATTATGTACAATATATGGATCAGTAACAACAAGGATTCAAGCATTGATCCTTGAGGAATTCCTTGTCATCATGCCCGCTCTGGTCTACAGTTCCTGTTCCTCTTAAGGTTCTTCATTTACAGCTCTTGGGCCTCTTGCAGCTACAAGTACTAGGCATCTTAAAAATGTTACGATAAAACTCTTGGGCCTCTTGGGATATTCATTTACAGCTCTATAACCTGAGCAAGTTGGGCTGTAACTCTTCTGGCTCTTGAGGGTTTTGGGATACAGGTACTTAAGACTCTTTGTGTGGGGTGAGTACTGGGAGCTGGGCTTATGGGAATATCTCTCTTGGATCATACAGAAACCAATACAGATTTATATAATGCCGTAGGGTAAATGGACACACAGTGGTATTGGCTTGAAAAAACTCTTTTAACTCTTTTAAGTTAATTGTTTCTTACTTTGCAGTAATCTGCCTTTATGAAAAAATACTGTATTTTTATTTTTCATATAACAAATCTATTGTACAAGGAAATGATTTGGCTGTTAACTTAATCCCTGTTTAAGGTCTGTGACATAGCCTAATTCTACATTTTCTTACAGATATGAAGGCGTGGTTACCTCTTCTGCTTCTGGTGGCGACACTTACCATTGCTGCTGCTACCACTAAGGTACTTATTAATTTCCATAGTTCCCCTGTGGCCTCAATATGATCTGTTATTTTAGCCTTTGTCAAAGAAATACTTTCCCAATGGTTTCCAGTGCACAAGATAGTTTTTACATTAGGACCAGAAAAGTCTACTGAAATCCTTAATTCATTGAGTGGGTACTACACTGGAACTACCTTCTGTGGGCAAAAGGGAACTAACCTGCAAGGCAGATGTATTATATATGTAATGAAATTTTTAGACCAAGCCCATGATGACACTCTTCAGGTCACTTGTTCTATCTAGGCTGGAATATTGCTGCACACTAACAGCACCTTTCAAGGCAGGTGAAATTGCTGACCTAGAAAATGTACAGAGAACTTTCACGGCGTGCATAACGGAGATAAAACGCCTCAATTATTGGGAGCGCTTGAGGTTCCTAAACCTGTATTCCCTGGAACACAGGAGGGAGAGATACATGATTATATACACCTGGAAAATCCTAGAGGGACTAGTACCGAACTTGCACACGAAAATCACTCACTACGAAAGCAAAAGACTTGGCAGACGATGCACCATCCCCCCAATGAAAAACAGGGGTGTCACTAGCACGTTAAGAGACCATACAATAAGTGTCAGGGGCCCGAGACTGTTCAGCTGCCTCCCAGCACACATAAGGGGGATTACCAACAGACCCCTGGCAGTCTTCAAGCTGGCACTGGACAAGCACCTAAAGTCAGTTCCTGATCAGCCGGGCTGTGGCTCGTACGTTGGTTTGCGTGCAGCCAGCAGCAACAGCCTGGTTGATCAGGCTCTGATCCACCAGGAGGCCTGGTCACAGACCGGGCCGCGGGGGCGTTGACCCCCGGAACTCTCTCCAGGTAAACTCCAGGTAAACACCTTAACCGAACTCAGTGTTCACCTGGTAATACTGCTTATGGAAAATACTTGAGGTTCAGATTCTCAATCTACACACAACCATAACAACTTACTAGAGTGGGTGATGTGGAATGAAGTGTAGATTAACCCAGTGAAGATTACATGTTATTATGTTCACGGGGTGAGCGCTAAACCTGTAGATGTCATACAGCACCTGGGGATTGAAAGGCAATCAAATTTGATCAATGGAAAGCAAGGTTAATTTGAATTCTTTGGATCAAGAGCCCTTCAACAGCATCAAGGTGCCTTCCTTAAAGAGAACCCAGTGAAGAGTAGGGATTCATTGTGTTAACATCCATGGATCAAAGCTTTTAACGTGCTACCAGCAGATATCAGAAATATTGCCAGAACACTGGTAGAAGCTTTTCAAGAGGAAATTGACTTCAGGTCAGGCAGCAAGGTTAAATGAGCCCTCAAAAATAATCATGGATATGTTACAGGGTAGCTTTAAAAGTCATTGGTAATTATGCTCTATTTCTGTTATTTCATGAGTTTTGCTTCATATGCAAACATCTTCATACAGGAATTTGTTTCTCTAGGCAGGTTGCTTATGTAAATCATGAATGGTACAATTGTGAGAAGTGATCCTTGGGGAACTCTGCATGTTGAGGCTTACTGTTTCTACCAGGTACAGTACTTGAGTGTCATAATGGGTTGAGATTGCTGACTGTTGGAGTAGCTTTGTACTGTAGCTTGTTGATGTCTGATGCTTCCATGGTGAATATTAGATATAGTCTGGCTGGTTCATCTCTTTTTTTTTTTTATACTAGGAAATTGTTTAATAAAGTTCATTAATTTGTGATAGAGTGCACTGTATATACATATACAGTGCATTCCATCACAAAACTGCAATATACAATACACTTAAGTGACACACACTTACATTGCTGTGTTTCATGTGTTTGTCCTTGCAAATATGTGCACATTCATACATATGTATAATAGTGGATGAATAGTTATGATAACATTAGAAGTTTGTAAAATGTTTTTTATCCCCTCAGGAGAAACAGCACAAGAAGGCTCACTCCGACCCACAAAAAAAACATATAAATCAGATTGAGGAAAAGCTTCAACAACTGCTTCAACTAGAAGCTGAGGTAAGCACATCAGTCTATAAACATATAGACCGGTTAAAAATGATCAGATTTGATCCAGTAGTCTGACCGTCCTGAGATTACCAGCCTACTATTCACTATGCTACAGGGGTTCTCAAGGGAGCCCCAACTATGACCGAACAGAGCTCTACTTTAATTACTTGTGCCAGTATCCCATGTGTGTTTATGCACATGCCTCTTCAAACTTATTGAATCTTATTATGTCAGTTCCAAACTTTAATTTGTTTGAAGGAATGTTTTCTGTCGAAGTAATTCACTAAATGTAATAGAATTTTTTTTTTTTTTTTGAACAAGTCGGCCGTCTCCCACCGAGGCAGGGTGACCCAAAAAAAAAAAAAAGAAAGAAAATCCCCAAAAAGAAAATACTTTCATCATCATTCAACACTTTCACCACACTCACACATTATCACTGTTTTTGCAGAGGTGCTCAGAATACAACAGTTTAGAAGCATACACATATAAAGATACACAACATATCCCTCCAAACTGCCAATATCCCAAACCCCTCCTTTAAAGTGCAGGCATTGTACTTCCCATTTCCAGGACTCAAGTCCGACTATATGAAAATAACCGGTTTCCCTGAATCCCTTCACTAAATATTACCCTGCTCACACTCCAACAGATCGTCAGGTCCCAAGTACCACTCGTCTCCATTCACTCCTATCTAACACGCTCATGCACGCTTGCTGGAAGTCCAAGCCCCTTGCCCACAAAACCTCCTTTACCCCCTCTCTCCAACCCTTTCGAGGACGACCCCTACCCCGCCTTCCTTCCCCTATAGATTTATATGATTTCCATGTCATTCTACTTTGATCCATTCTCTCTAAATGACCAAACCACCTCAACAACCCCTCTTCTGCCCTCTGACTAATACTTTTATTAACTCCACACCTTTTCCTAATTTCCACACTCTGAATTTTCTGCATAATATTTACATCACACATTGCCCTTAAACAGGACATCTCCACTGCCTCCAACCGTCTCCTCGCTGCTGCATTTACCACCCAAGCTTCACACCCATATAAGAGTGTTGGTACTACTATACTTTCATACATTCCCTTCTTTGCCTCCATAGATAACGTTTTTTGACTCCACATATACCTCAACGCACCACTCACCTTTTTTCCCTCATCAATTCTATGATTAACCTCATCCTTCATAAATCCATCCGCCGACACGTCAACTCCCAAGTATCTGAAAAGATCACTTCTTCCATACTCCTCCCCCCAATTTGATATCCAATTTTTCTTTATCTAAATCATTCGACAACCCTCATCACCTTACTCTTTTCTATGTTCACTTTCAACTTTCTACCTTTACACACATTCCCAAACTCATCCACTAACCTTTGCAATTTTTCTTTAGAATCACCCATAAGCACAGTATCATCAGCAAAAAGTAACTGTGTCAATTCCCATTTTGAATTTGATTCCCCAAAATTTAATCCCACCCCTCTCCCGAACACCCTAGCATTTACTTCCTTTACAACCTCATCTATAAATATATTAAACAACCATGGTGGCATTACATATCCCTGTCTAAGACCTACTTTTACCGGGAAGTAGTCTCCCTCTCTTCTGCACGTAACCCTAACCTGAGCCTCACTATCCTCATAAAAACTCTTTACAGCATTTAATAACTTACCACCTATTCCATATACTTGCAACATCTGCCACATTGCTCCTCTATCCACTCTATCACATGCCTTTTCTAAATCCATAAATGCAATAAAAACTTCCCTACCTTTATCTAAATACTGTTCACATATATGCTTCAATGTAAACACTTGATCTACACATCCCCTACCCACTCTGAAACCTCCTTGCTCATCCGCAATCCTACATTCTGCTTTACCTCTAATTCTTTCAATTATAACCCTAAAACCCTACACTTTTCCTGTATACTCAGTAAACTTATTCCTCTATAATTTTTACAGTCTCTTTTGTCCCCTTTCCCTTTATATAAAGGGACTATACATGCTCTCTGCCAATCCCTAGGTACCTTCCCCTCTTTCATACATTTATTAAACAAAAGTACCAACCACTCCAACACTATATCCCCCCCCTGCTTTTAACATTTCTGTCATGATCCCATCAGTTCCATCTGCTTTACCCCCCTTTCATTTTACGTAATCCCTCACGTACCTCCCCCACACTTACATTCTGCTCTTCTTCACTCCTAAAAGATGGTATACCTCCCTGACCAGTGCATGAAATTACTGCCTCTGTTTCTTCCTTAACATTTAAAAGTTCCTCAAAATATTCTCGCCATCTACCTAATACCTCCATCTCCCCATCTACTAACTCCCCTACTCTGTTTTTAACTGACAAATCCATACTTTCCCTAGGCTTTCTTAACTTGTTTAACTCACTCCCAAAATTTTTTCTTATTTTCATTAAAATTTCTTGACAGTGCCTCTCCCACTCTATCATCTGCTCTCCTTTTGCACTCTCTCACCACAAATTACTTACAGGTAAGATAATTTTTGAAAGTCGGGTTGCTCTTGGAGATCATATCAAGTCTTGCTTTGAGGATACTTGACTTTCTGCTGTTCATTTCAGCTCATAGTCATGCATGCTACATGACGTATTGATACTAGGTCAGTGTCTTTGTTAAAATTATGAAAATTAGCTAGTATAGACGGTAATTTAATAATGTAGTACGTGTATTTTTGCCAAAATTATGCATAGTCTTTGAAGACTTAGATATTAATACACTACCCATTTTTGTCAGCTGAAGTCAGAAATTGCTGAAGTTGCTGAGGAGGACGAGGAGGGGGAAGAGGAGGAAGAGGAGGAGGTTGAAGTTCCTAATGAAGAGAATGAGATAGGTGATGAAGAAAGAGAGCCTGAAGAGGGAGAGCCTGAAGAGGAGGCTGAAGAGGAGGCTGAAGAAGAAGAAGAGCCTGTAGATGAAGAATATGATGAAGAGGAAACAGATGAAGATCCAGATGTAATCATTAGAGGTAATTTATTTTTGTGAAGACCTGTTCCAGCATATTTACTTTTTTACATTCATATTTTTCATCTCTTGTCCCTGTGAGATACATTTCAAAACATTTCACCAATGTCAAAGTATGGTGTTAGCACTTCCCCACAAGTATACTACTTCTACCACTAATAATAAGAGGAATAATTATAATACAGTAATAATAATAATAATAATAATAATAATAATAATAATATAGTAATATTAATAGTAAGACATTTAAGCTTTCTGTATGACTAAAGTTTTACATACCATAAATGTTTCTAATACTGGGTGATATTGGGAGATGACTGACTGCTGTGTCATGGCTTCAGTAGTTGCTTAGACCATCATGGCATCTGCCATTAACTTGGATGGAAGGTAGACATTTATTGATTTTTTCTGTTGTTACTGTTTAGCACTTAAGCATAGTTAATGTAGTTTTTAAAACAATAATGAATATGGTACTTTTGTTTTTATTTAAAATTAACAGGACAGTTCTGTTAATTAGGCAAACCTTTGAATTTAAAATGAATAATTAATATTTTACATGACATTAATGTTTTGTTTGAACAGATCCTTGTACGGACATGCACTGTGGTGCCGGCCGTATGTGTGTTTTAACTGATGATGGTGAAGCAGAATGCAGATGTGTTAATGCATGCACTGATGAGCCTGATCCACGTAGGAGAGTGAGTATTGAGTTAGGTTTTGCAATTTATTTATTACTGATCAATTAAAAAAAAATCTTTTTTTGGTGTATATCTTACTGATTAAAACATTGCTGGAAAAAATGATGAAAAAAGTGTCTATCTATTCATTTACCACTCTGCACAATACATAGGATGGCAACTTTTTGTACAAAATAAATGTACAGTGGTACCCTGAGTTTCGGCCATAATTTGATCCAGAAGGCTGTTCGAGTGCTGTTACTGAACGAATTTGTTCCTATAAGGAATAGTATAAATTAAATTAGTCCGTTTCAGACCCCCAAAAATACACTTACAAAATCACTTACAATAATACACTTACATAATTGTTCAAGTTGGGAGCTGTACGAAACTCGGGGTACCAGTGTAGTTAATTATATACCCTCCTTCCTTTGTTCCAATCTTTGACCAAGGATGCCACCCGCAACAGTCCTCTAACACATGAGCACTATTTAATGCTAAATGAACAAGGGCAACAGATGTAAGGAAAATGCCCATTGTCTCTCTTCTTCCTATGATGAATCTTGGGGTTTTCATTTATTAGCTGAAAACACTACCACCATTGAACAATGGACCATCTACACAGATTTTTTAATACAAGTGAGTGTAAAACGAAAGCCTGTAATTGTTTTACATGATGGTAGGATTGCTGGTGTCTTTTGTCTGTCTCATAAATATGCAAGATTACAGGCATGTCTTGCTACTTCTACTTACACTTAGGTCACACTACACATACATGTACACGTTTATTTATACACACACTCATCTTTTAGGAGTGAAGAAGAGCAGAATGTAAGTGTGGTGGAGGTACGTGAGGCATTACGTAGAATGAAAGGGGGTAAAGCAGCTGGAACTGATGGGATCATGACAGAAATGTTAAAAGCAGGGGGGGGATATAGTGTTGGAGTGGTTGGTACTTTTGTTTAATAAATGTATGAAAGAGGGGAAGGTACCTAGGGATTGGCGGAGAGCATGTATAGTCCCTTTATATAAAGGGAAAGGGGACAAAAGAGATTGTAAAAATTATAGAGGAATAAGTTTACTGAGTATACCAGGAAAAGTATACGGTAGGGTTATAATTGAAAGAATTAGAGGTAAACAGAATGTAGAATTGCGGATGAGCAAGGAGGCTTCAGAGTGGGTAGGGATGTGTAGATCAAGTGTTTACATTGAAGCATATATGTAACAGTATTTAGATAAAGGTAGGGAGTTTTTTATTGCATTTATGTATTTAGAAAAGGCATATGATAGTGGATAGAAGAGCAATGTGGCAGATGTTGCAAGTTTATGGAATAGGTGGTAAGTTTACTAAATGCTGTAAAGAGCTTTTTATGAGGATAGTGAGGCTCAGGTTAGGGTGTGTTGAAGAGAGGGAGAATACTTCCCGGTAAAAGTAGGTCTTAGACAGGGATGTGTAATGTCACCATGGTTTGTTTAATATATTTATAGATGGGTTGTAAAAGAAGTAAATGCTAGGGTGTTCGGAGAGGGTGGGATTAATTATGGGGAATCAAATTCAAAATGGGAATTGACACAGTTACTTTTGCTGATGATACTGTGCTTATGGAGATTCTAAAGAAAAATTGCAAAGGTTAGTGGATGAGTTTGAGAATGTGTGTAAAGGTAGAAAGTTGAAAGTGAACATAGAAAAGAGAAAAGGTGATAGGGTATCAAATGACTAATAAAAAAAAAATTGGGATATCAAATTGGGAGGAGGAGTAGGGGAAGAAGTGAATGTTTTCAGATACTTGGGAGTGACGTGTCGGCGGATGGATTTATGAAGGATGAGGTTAATCATAGAATTGATGAGGGAAAAAAGGTGAGTGGTGCGTTAGGTATATGTGGGTCAAAAAACGTTATCAAAGGAGGCAAAGAAGGGAATGTATGAAATACTGTATAGAGTACCAATACTCTTAATGGATGTGAAGTTTGGGGTGGTAAATGCTGCAGCGAGGAGGCTTTGGAGACAGTGAAGATGTCCTGTCTAAGGCAGTGTGTGGGTGTAAATATTATGCAGAAAATTCGGAGTGTGGAAATTAGGAGAAGGTGTGGAGTTATAAAAGTATTAGTCAGAGGGCTGAAGAGGGGTTGTTGAGGTGGTTTGGTCATTTAGAGAGAATGGATCAAAGTAGAATGACATGAGACGTAATAAATCTGTAGGGGAAGGAAGGCGGGGTGGGGGTCGTCATTGTACTTCCCATATCCGGACTTGAGTCTTGGATATGGGAAGTACAATGCCTGTATTCTAAAGGAGGAGTTTGGGATATTGGCAGTTTGGAGGGATATATTGTGTATTTTTATACGTATATACTTCTAAACTGTTGTATTCTGGGCACCTCTGCAAAAACAGTGATTATGTGTGAGTGAGGTGAAAGTGTTGAATGATGATGAAAGTATTTTCTTTTTGGGGATTTTCTTTGTTTTTGGGTCACCCTGCCTCGGTGGGAGACGGCCGACTTGTTAAAAAAAAATATACAATACTTCCATCTGTTCTCAGAAGAACACCTAGTTATAATAAATGACTTATCATATCATACTTTTATGTTACGTAAAAATGTGCCATAACATAATTTTATTATTATTTGTAAGGTTTTTTTTTTTCATATTATGTAGGTGCACCTCTGGTGCACCTACATAATATCATCACTCTGGGATAGAGTGAATGATGATTAAAGTGTTTCTTCTTTTCTGGGGTCACCCTATCTTGGTGGGAAACAGCCAGTGTGTTTATAAAAAAAATAAGGTCTTGGTTGTTGTATTTAGGTTTAACAATTCTTTTATTCTAGGTAGTAGGCTGGTAGACAGCAACCACCCAGGGAGGTACTACCGTCCTGCCAAGTGAGTGTAAAACGAAAGCCTGTAATTGTTTTACATGATGGTAGGATTGCTGGTGTCCATTTTTCTGTCTCATGAACATGCAAGGTTTCAGGTACGTCTTGCTACTTCTGCTTACACTTAGGTCACACTACACATACATGTATAAGCATATATGTACATACCCCTCTGGGTTTTCTTCTATTTTGTTACTAGTTCTTGTTCTTGTTTATTTCCTCTTATCTCCATGGGGAAGTGGAACAGAATTCTTTCTCCGTAAGCTATGCATGTTGTAAGAGGCGACTGAAATGCCAGGAACAAGGGGCTAGTATCCCCTTCTGTATAAATTACAGTGGTCCCTCGTTTTTCGTAATTAATCCGTTCCTGGAGGAGCTACTATAAACGAAATTTACGATTTGCGAATCAATTTTCCCCAAGAAATAATGTAAATACAATTAATCCGTTCCTGACACCCAGAAGTATTAAAACAGAAAATTGTTTTACATAAAATATACATGTAGTACATAAACATTACAATGGGAAATGATGACTGAAACATTAACAGCATAACACTTACCTTTATTGGAGATTCTTCTTAGTGTATGGGAGACTGGAGGAGGAGAGAGATTGGATTGTTTACAGTTTGGAAGGGAAATCCCCTTCCAGCAACACCTCAGGTACCAATTGCTTCTATGGGGTTGCTTCTCTTCTCTGTTTCTTAATGCCACAAAGTAACTGTGGAGAGAGCTCTGTTTCTAGCGTCTCTTTAACACTTCCCTAAAATGGCCCAAGACTTTGTCACTGTACATATTTCTCACCTTCTTTACTACAGGCTTGGCACTAGGAGCTTTCTTTGGAGCCATGGTAGCTTATTTAGTACTTGCAAGCACTAAAATGAGTGGAATATTATGAAATATTTCGTTGGAGCACTTGAGGGGACCTTCACTCACTGGTAAACAATGCCAGACTGGCTGGGTAGGGAGGCCGCCTTGGCTCACACCGTGCGTAAGCGTCCCGGACGAACTACTTTTCGCGAGTCAACCTATGAAAAGCGAGTCCATGTTTATATGAAAATACCCCTATGATTGGCGAAATTTACGATTGCCGAGAACTACGAAAAGCGAGGGACCACTGTACTAAATTTAAAAAGAGAAACTTTCGTTTTTCTTTTTGAGCCACCCCTCACTTGGTGGAATACGGCCGGTTTGTTGAAAAAAAGAAAAAAAAAATTCTTTTATGTTATATACTTGCAGGTGTGCAGTAACCACAATGAGACTTGGATGTCTGACTGTGAACTGTACCGCCAGCGTTGTCTTTGCAAGGAGGAGGATGAAAGCTGCCTCAAGCCAGAGTATAGCCATGTTCATATTGACTATTATGGAGAGTGTCAAGAGCTTCCTGTAAGTGCTGAACGTTTCTTATTTTATGAGATAAAATATTAATTGTAATGGTAATTAGTATAAGATGAAATATACAGCAGAGATAAAGAGGTAAACAATAAGATAAAATGACACTAATAAAAATTGTATTTTTATTGTTATTTTATATTTAAGGTATTTTATAACATTGTTAGACATTATGTTATAGTTTTTAGAAACTTTTAATTGTATTCAGCAATCCAGTAATAATTAAACTAAAACAAAAATTGTTTAATCCATTACATTACTCGTAAAGTTGTTTAGTCGATGTGAAACTGCAGGACCTGGCCATTGGGGCGTTGACCCCCTGAACACCCTCCAAGTAGACATAACCTCATAACGATCATACAGCCTCTAGAGGAATGGGAGGCAGTCAGGTTTCATCCAGAGAAAGGAAGGTCAAGCCTAATTCCTTGACTCGAGAACCCCTCACCACCTCCACTTGAGGGGAAGCTTCCTAATTGAATTTATTAAAAACAATTGATAAAAACATTTGCAATTACGCTGTAAATTAACACTAAAAACATTTCTTTTATATGTTGTGTTCAATAGCTATATTTGTCTTGGTGTTGGCAGATTTACATCACAATTACTGTATACGTATCCATGGCTAAGAGACCACTGGCCTACAGGATTTCCACTCCATTTAAAAATATGGTCGATTTTATCAGGTTTAAAATTTTTTGTCTGCGTGAAACATATTGCATGTAACTACCAAGCAAGGGTACTTTTATCCCTAAAATAGGGATTATATACACAGAGAGATACTTCTTTGTGTATATAGAACACGACATCCTCAGGTTGATATGTTGGTTGGTTAATTGGCTTAGAAATGTGTCTACTACATGAGGGTTATTTAAGTTACATATAACCTGTTGACCAGTCAACAATACTTTGACTGTGTATATACTACACTGAGATATACACACCTTTAGGTGTGTGTATGCTTATTTAGGTTAGTTTAGGTAAACTTCGTCAGGAAACAGGGCAAAAGCCTCTTGATGTAGGTCATAGCCATATGATGACCTGCCATTGGAGCTTTGTATCATATGAATGAGCCTATTGGCTGGTGGCTGGCTTACTGGTCCTTCCATTTATAAAGCTGTATTATCAGCTTTATTTAGAGGGGATGAGAGGGTTGCCTGCTTTAGCCAACAAGTACTTTTGCTGAGAATTCTCAGACAATTTTTAATATAAATACTGGATTGTAAGTAGGTTTAGTTGTAATGGTGCATGATAGAAAATGTTGCAGGGATATACAGTGGACCCCCGGTTAACGATATTTTTTCACTCCATAAGTATGTTGAGGTGCCAGTACTGACCGAATTTATTCCCATAAGGAATATTGTGAAGTAGATTAGTCCATTTCAGACCCCCAAACATACACATACAAACGCACTTACATAAATACACTTACATAATTGGTCGCATTCGGAGGTAATCGTTATGCGGGGGTCCACTGTATTTGGATTATAAAAAGTACTTAAGCATCTCATATTTACAGTGAGTTTATCAGAAGAAAGCCAGATATTTGAGCATTTTGATTTTGCTAAACTTTTGTGCCAGTAAAAAAACTATTTTTCTGTTTCCCAAGTAAATTTACTTAAGTAGGTAACTAAACAACATACAGTTATGTAGAGAGAATAGAAGTGTATAATATAGTTTCATTTATCATATTTTTTATTTTTTCCTCTTGGTCATGGTTATGTTGCATATCACAATTTGTATCACAGTTTAAGCAGAACATTTCTTGTAAAAATTCTGTAACATTCATGTCAGTAGTAGTTACACTTTTGTGATGTGTATGCATATGTATTCCCAGAACCATTATTGGTATGATTATGTGACTGTATGTTCAGATATTGTACAAGATCCTTAGCACATCTCATGCAGTAAGTCACATTATTTACTTAACAGAAGTGCGAGGAATCAGAGCTGGAAGATTTCCCTCGTCGCATGAGTGAATGGTTGTTTAACATCATGCGTGACATGGCTGACCGTCAGACTCTGAGTGAGCATTACATCCGCCTGGAGAGGGAAGCCGAGGAGGATGCCACTAAGCAGTGGACATACGCAGTAGTGTGGAAATGGTGCGAGCTGGATTCTCATCCAAAAGATAGGTGAGAAATAAATTTTCACTATTTCTTATTTATGTTAAGTTGGCTCACTGATGATGCAATTAAACCATTTTTCTCATTTTTCATTGAGTGGAGATAGTACACTTGTCCAGATCTATCATTTTTCTCCATTAGGGCTGGAAAGTTGTTTACAAAATTATCTATTCATGACTTAATCTCTTGAGTATATTTTTCCCATTTAGCATACAATTGCTTGAAAAGTAATGTAGAAAATTAGAGCAAAAGATATCTGAAAATATGATAGTATAGCCTACTATATGTTATATATATATATATAATATATATATATATATATATATATATATATATATATATATATATATATATATATATATATATATATATATATATATATATATATATATATCTCTCTCCTCTCTCTCTCTCTCTCTCTCTCTCTCTCTCTTCTCTCCTCTCTTTTTTTTTTTTTTTTTTTTTTTTTTTTTTTTTTTTTTTTTTTTTTACACAGGGTTTGACAAGGTTAAGGATCCCTACCTTTATTGACAGCTATATTACAGGTTAAGGATTCCTAACTTTATTGGCAAGCTAAGAGCTGTTACCTACATCAGCTCATTTGAAAGCATTTTTATTGTTATGAGACATACAAGTACGGAACAGGATGAAGTTGGAGCCATCTGTGGGCCAGCATTTTCATTTGATCAACTGACTTTATCTCGTTGACATCATTATGCTGTACGAATGTGTTCCATACTCGAGTCATCCTGGGTATGTATGATCTCAGATGGAGTGATGTTCTGGAGAAGGGTACAGCCAGAGTGAAGTTGCTGCTTTCTGCCCGTCTTGTGGCATAAAAGCTTGTTTCACGCTGTCCTCGAAGTGGATCCAAGTGTGGTATTTTGACAATATTGGCCTTGTACATAACAGTAAGGCCACCCACATCCCTCCTATGTTGAAGGCTCTGCTGAAATGACAGATCTATCCAGGATGGGTCCAGGCGAGAGATGAGACGTCTTGCTCTGTTCTCTACTCTGTCAAGCAGTCGCAGATGAGAGGGGGGGGCAGGCAAACCAAGAAAGTGGAGCATACTCAAGGTGTGAGCGTACTTGTGCCTCGTACAGGATCTTGCAACCCCTACTGTCAAGCAGATGGGAGATACGGCGAAGTGCTGTAAGCTTCCTGGCTGCCTTGTTTGCAAGATTTACAACGTGGTTCTTCATGGTTAGTTTGGAGTCAAATTTCACCCCAAGGATATCAACTTCTTCTCCAGGTGCCAACATCCTCCCATTCATCCTTACTACTGCACCAGCATTACCATCATGGTTCCTAGAGACGATCATCATTTGCGTTTTCTCAGGTGCAAATGTTACTTGCCATCTATTTCCCCAAGCTGATATAGCTCTCAGCTGGTGATTGATGTAGCTTAGAGCACTGGCATTTCTTCTCTTGGATAAGTGAATGTCAGTGTACAGTCATCTGCATATGCATGTGATTCTGGGATGAGATGAAGAAGGTCGTTGAAGTAGACATTCCATAACAATGGACCCAGCACGCTTCCTTGTGGAACACTTGCCCCAATAGGATGTCTTGCTGATTCCATTCCATTGAGAACTACACTTAGAGATCTACCATGAAGGTAATCACTGAGGAGACATAGCATAGAGCCTGCAATTCCCAGTGCTTGAAGTTTTGCTAAGAGGCCCTGGTGCCACACCCGGTCGAAAGCGCCAGCAATGTCCAGTGCTACCACACAGCTGACTTTGGATTCATCCAGTGACTGGTGCCACTTAGTGGAGAGGTTTAACAACAGATCAGCAGCAGAGTAACCTTTCCTGAAGCCATATTGACGATCACAAAGTAGTGAGTGGTAGTCAAAAAACTCTGTCATTTGTCTTGAGATTATTGTCTCAAGGATCTTACCAGTGATTGACAGGAGTGACACTGGTCTGTAGTTGCTGATTTCTGCTCTGCTCTTCTTTTTGTGAACAGGGACTACATTTGCCTCTTTCCATAGAGAGGGCCATTTATACTGTACTAGGCAGTGCTGAAAGATGCGAGTTAGAGGTGCTGCTAGCTGGTCTGCACATCTTCTCAACAATCTTGGGCTCAACTTGTCTGGGCCCACAGCCTTTTCTTGGTCAAGCGATTTAAGTAGGAAATGCACCTCCACCTCTCTCTCTGTCTCTCTCTGTCTCTCTCTGTCTCTCTCTGTCTCTCTCTCTGTCTCTCTCTCTGTCTCTCTCTCTGTCTCTCTCTCTGTCTCTCTCTCTGTCTCTCTCTCTGTCTCTCTCTCTGTCTCTCTCTCTGTCTCTCTCTCTGTCTCTCTCTCTCTCTGTCTCTCTCTCTCTCTCTCTCTCTCTCTCTCTCTCTCTCTCTCTCTCTCTCTCTCTCTCTCTCTCTCTTTTTACAAAAGTTCTTAGTGTTTGGTTGAATTTCAACCTTTATTTACAAGCTAAGAGTTGTTGTCTACCTACCTCAGTTCATTTGAAAGCCTTTCCTGGTATCACCTTTATTTAATTTTTATTGTTACTAAATATACATGTAGAGAACAGGATGAAGTTGACGCCAGTTGTGGCCTTTGTGGGTCAGAAATTTTATTTGGTTATCTGGCTTTATTTCATCAGTGTTGTTATGCTATATGAACATGTAGTTGAGAAAAATCACTTGGAATTTAAAATACTAATTATGATACAGCCTAGAAACATTTCAGACCAAAGTTTGTCCCTTCCCCACACTCAACCAACCACCCCCACCAGTCTTTCCCACCATGCTGGTATTTTGAGCTCTTATCAGTAATTGCTAAAAAATAAGGAAATGTATATTGGAAATTACCGGATTAGTCATTAGAAAAAATATATGATAAGTTTTATATTATATACTGTAGCTTTAATGCTTGTTGATTCATACACAGTGTATTTATTTTTACATTTAGCGCTGTGTCACGTCACGAGCTGTTCCCCATCCGCGCCCCACTTATTACTCTGGAGCACTGCATCAGTACATTCCTAGACTCCTGTGATCCAAATGATGACCATCTCATCACACTCAAGGAATGGGGTAACTGTACCAAGCTTTCGCAGGTAAGATAAAAAATCATGCTTTGTGTCCTATTAAGTTATTTTGGAGATACGTTGCAGTTATTGAACTGGAGTATCGGCATGACTCTGGCCAGACATTGATGGAGTGAGAGATGAAGAAAGTGTGTTCTCTTTTTTCAGGTCATCGTGCCTCAGTGGGAAATGGCGATGTGTTAAAAAAATAGAATTAATGGCTATTTTGTTTGTTATTTAATTGATATTTGGCACAGTTACTTTTTGCTGATGATACTGTGCTTATGGGAGATTCTAAAGAAAAATTGCAAAGGTTAGTGGATGAGTTTGAGAATGTGTGTAAAGGTAGAAAGTTGAAAGTGAACATAGAAAAGAGCAAGGTGATGAGGGTATCAAATGATTTAGATAAAGAAAAATTGGATATCAAATTGGGGAGGAGGAGTATGGAAGAAGTGAATGTTTTCAGATACTTGGGAGTTGACGTGTCGGCGGATGGATTTATGAAGGATGAGGTTAATCATAGAATTGATGAGGGAAAAAAGGTGAGTGGTGCGTTGAGGTATATGTGGAGTCAAAAAACGTTATCTATGGAGGCAAAGAAGGGAATGTATGAAAGTATAGTAGTACCAACACTCTTATATGGATGTGAAGCTTGGGTGGTAAATGCAGCAGCGAGGAGACGGTTGGAGGCAGTGGAGATGTCCTCTCTAAGTATCATGTGGGGGTTCGAACACGTGGATAGGATAAAGTAATACTCACGTAGGCTGGAAGTACGTATAATTATAACGGTAAGTATGGAAGAGCCAAACAGCCGTGACCTGCCTCCTTGCTCACTCTCGTATAACTGGCCGGTCAACCCCTCGGAGATTGAAGCAATTAGCACACGAACTAAGCCAGGAAGTTTGAAAAACAGCTGCAACAGGCTTGCAGGGTGGTGGTTGTGAGGGGAGCAAGTAGCTGGTGGGTGAGACGGTTCACCTTATGACCCCCGGCTACTCACAAACAGTCTTCTAACGTCTTGAAATACCCTTAAAAAGCTTAAATCCATGCTCACACCGGTGCCACCATTTATCATGTGGGGGTTCGAACACGTGGATAGGGTAAAGTAATACTCACATAGGCTGGAAGTACGTATAATTATAACGGTAAGTATGGAAGAGCCAAACAGCCATGACCTGCCTCCTTGCTCACTCTCGTATAACTGCCCGCCCACAGTACCCATATGTGAGGGGGTCTTTGAAATACTGCTGTGGTCAGCGGCAATATGAATACAGACAGTGACTCGGGCAGAGACGGTTGGTAGTGAGTCATCTACTGGTACACTGGTTACTGGTAACTGGTTACTACTACTGAGATACGGGCAATGTGTGGTGTAAATATTATGCAGAAAATTCGGAGAGTGGAAATTAGGAAAAGGTGTGGAGTTAATAAAAGCATTAGTCAGAGGGCAGAAGAGGGGTTGTTGAGGTGGTTTGGTCATTTATAGAGAATGGATCAAAGTAGAATGACATGGAAAGCATATAAATCTATAGGAGAAGGAAAGAGGGGTAGGGGTCGTCCTCGAAAGGGTTGGAAAGAGGGGGTAAAGGAGGTTTTGTGGGCGAGGGGCTTGGACTTCCAGCAAGCGTGCATGAGCGTGTTAGATAGGAGTGAATGGAGACGAATGATACTTGGGACCTGACGATCTGTTGGAGTGTGAGCAGGATAATATTTAGTGAAGGGATTTAGGGAAACTATAGGTAGTAGGTTGGTAGACAGCAACCACCCAGGGAAGTACTACCGTCCTGCCAGATGACTGTGAAACAAAAACCTGTAACTGTTTTGCATGATGGTAGGATTGCTGGTTTCTTTTTCTGTCTCATAAACACGCTAAGATAACAGGGATATCTTGCTACTCCTACTTACACTTTGGTCACACTTCACAGACACGCACATGCATATATATATATACATACATCTAGGTTTTTCTCCTTTTTCTAAATAGCTCTTGTTCTTTTTTATTTCTTCTATTGTCCATGGGGAAGTGGAAAAGAATCTTCCTCTGTAAGCCATGCGTGTCGTATGAGGCGACTAAAATGCCGGGAGCAATGGGCTAGTAACCCCTTTTCCCCGTATACAATTACTAAAAAAAGAAGAGAAAAAACTTATAAAACTGGGTTGCTTAAATGTGCGTGGATGTAGTGCGGATGACAAGAAACAGATGATTGCTGATGTTATGAATGAAAAGAAGTTGGATGTCCTGGCCCTAAGCGAAACAAAGCTGAAGGGGTAGGAGAGTTTCAGTGGGGGGAAATAAATGGGGTTAAATCTGGAGTATCTGAGAGAGTTAGAGCAAAGGAAGGGGTAGCAGTAATGTTAAATGATCAGTTATGGAAGGAGAAAAGAGAATATGAATGTGTAAATTCAAGAATTATGTGGATTAAAGTAAAGGTTGGATGCGAGAAGTGGGTCATAATAAACGTGTATGCACCTGGGAAGAGAGGAATGCAGAGGAGAGAGAGAGATTTTGGGAGATGTTAAGTGAATGTATAGGAGCCTTTGAACCCAAATGAGAGAGTAATTGTGGTAGGGGACTTGAATGCTAAAGTAGGAGAAACTTTTAGAGAGGGTGTGGTAGGTAAGTTTGGGGTGCCAGGTGTAAATGATAATGGGAGCCCTTTGATTGAACTTTGTATAGAAAGGGGTTTTAGTTATAGGTAATACATATTTTAAGAAAAAGAGGATAAATAAGTATACACGATATGATGTAGGGCAAAATGACAGTAGTTTGTTGGATTATGTATTGGTAGATAAAAGACTGTGAGTAGACTTCAGGATGTACATGTTTATAGAGGGGCCACAGATATATCAGATCACTTTCTAGTTGTAGCTACACTGAGAGTAAAAGGTAGATGGGATACAAGGAGAATAGAAGCATCAGGGAAGAGAGAGGTGAAGGTTTATAAACTAAAAGAGGAGGCAGTTAGGGTAAGATATAAACAGCTATTGGAGGATAGATGGGCTAATGAGAGCATAGGCAATGGGTCGAAGAGGTATGGGTAGGTTTAAAAATGTAGTGTTAGAGTGTTCAGCAGAAGTTTGTGGTTACAGGAAAGTGGGTGCAGGAGGAAGAGAGCGATTGGTGGAATGATGATGTAAAGAGAGTAGTAAGGGAGAAAAAGTTAGCATATGAGAAGTTTTTACAAAGTAGAAGTGATGCAAGGAGGGAAGAGTATATGGAGAAAAAGAGAGAAGTTAAGAGAGTGGTGAAGCAATGTAAAAAGAGAGCAAATGAGAGAGTGGGTGAGATGTTATCAACAAATTTTGTTGAAAATAAGAAAAAGTTTTGGAGTGAGATTAACAAGTTAAGAAAGCCTAGAGAACAAATGGATTTGTCAGTTAAAAATAGGAGAGGAGAGTTATTAAATGGAGAGTTAGAGGTAGTGGGGAAAATGGAGGGAATATTTTGAGGAATTGTTAAATGTTTTATGAAGATAGGGAAGCTGTGATTTCGTGTATAGGGGGAAGGAGAAATTAACATCTTGTAGGAGTGAGGAAGAGCCAGTTGTGAGTGTGGGGGAAGTTCGTGAGGCAGTAGGTAAAATGAAAGGGGGTAAGGCAGCCGGGATTGATGGGATAAAGATAGAAATGTTAAAAGCAGGTGGGGATATAGTTTTGGAGTGTTGGTGCAATTATTTAATAAATGTATGGAAGAGGGTAAGGTACCTAGGGATTGGCAGAGAGCATGCATAGTTCCTTTTTATAAAGGCAAAGGGGATAAAAGAGAGTGCAAAAATTATAGGGGGATAAGTCTGTTGAGTGTACCTGGTAAAGTGTATGGGTAGAGTTATAATTGAAAGAATTAAGAGTAAGACGGAGAATAGGATAGCAGATGAACAAGGAGGCTTTAGGAAAGGTAGGGGGTGTGTGGACCAGGTGTTTACAGTGAAACATATAAGTGAACAGTATTTAGATAAGGCATAAGAGGTCTTTGTGGCATTTATGGATTTGGAAAAGGCGTATGACAGGGTGGATAGGGGGGCAATGTGGCAGATGTTGCAAGTGTATGGTGTAGGAGGTAGGTTACTGAAAGCAGTGAAGAGTTTTTACGAGGATAGTGAGGCTCAAGTTAGAGTATGTAGGAAAAAGGGAAATTTTTTCCCAGTAAAGTAGGCCTTAGACAAGGATGTGTGATGTCACCGTGGTTGTTTAATTATTTATAGATGGGGTTGTAATAGAAGTAAATGCGAGGGTCATGCAGAGCGTGAGTTAAAAAATAAAGAATCACACACAAAGTGGGTATTTGTCACAGCTGCTCTTTGCTGATGACAACTGTGCTCATTTGGAGATTCTAAGAGAAGTTTGCAGAGATTGTGGGATGAATATGTAGGGTGTGCAAAAGAAGAAAATAAAAGGTGAATATACAGGAAAGAGAAAGGTTAGTTAAGGATAACAAAAAGAATAGGTTGATGAAAGAATGAATAGCAATTGGAGGGAGAGAGTATGGAGGAGGTGAACGTATTCAGATATTTGGGAGTGGGACGTGTCAGCGATGGGTCTTATGAAAGATGAAGGTGAAATCAGTAGAATTGATGATTGAAAAAGATTGAGTGGTGCACTTGAGTCGCTGTGGAACAAAGAACTTTGTCCTTGGATTCAAAGAGGGGAATGTATGGAGAGTAAGTTTTTATTACCAACGCTCTTATAGGGTGTGAAGCGTGGGTGATGAATGTTGCAGCGAGGAGAAGGCTGGAGGCAGTGAGATGTCATGTCTGAGGGCAATTTGTTGTGTGATTATAATGCAGAGAATTCGTAGTTTTGGGGAAGTTAGGAGGAGGTGCAGGAATTACCAAAACTGTTTTCCAGAGGGCTGAGTAATGGTTGTTGAGGTGGTTCGACATGTAGATAGAATGGAGCGAAACAGAATTGACTTCAAGAGTGTATCAGTCTGTAGTGGAAGGAAGCGGGGTAGGGTCGCCTAGGAAGGGGTTGGAGGGAGGGGGTAAAGGTGGTTTTGTGTGCGAGGGGCTTGACTTCCAGCATGCATGCGTGAGCGTGTTGATAGGAGTGAATGGAGACAATGGTTTTTATACTTGAACGTGCTTGTTGAGTGTGAGCAAAGTAACATTATGAAGGGATTCAGGAAACCGGCAGCCGGACTGAGTCCTGGAGAAGGGAATTACAGTGCCTGTGCACTCTTGAAGGAGGGTTTTAATGTTGCAGTATTTAAAAACTTAGTGTAAAGCACCCTTCCTGCAAGACAGTGAGGAGTGAATGAAGGTGAAAGTTTTTCTTTTTCGGGCCACCCTGCCTTGTGTGGGAATCGCCATGTGGATAAAAAAAAAAAAAAAAAAAATAAAAATTTAGGGAAACCAGTTATTTTCATATAGTCGTACTTGAAGTCCTGGACATGGGAAGTACAATGCCGCACATTTAAAGGAGGGTTTTGGGATGCAGTTTGGAGGGATATGTTGTGTATCTTTATACGATATGCTCTAAACTGTTGTATTCTGAGCACCCTGCAAAACATTGATACTGTGTGAGTGTGGTGAAAGTGTTTGAATGAATGAAAGTATTTTCTTTTTGGGGTTTTCTTTCTTTTTTGGTCACCCTGCTCGGTGGGAGAACGACTGGACTTGTTGACAAAAAAAAAAAAAAATTGCACTAATTTAGCAAAATCCATTATATAGTAATATAGAATAACCTATTTACTGATCATTTACCAAATAGCAAAAAAAAGGAACTCTTGATGTTGAGGTTGTATAAATTTTGTGTTTGATGTCCACAGATGACGATAGAATTGATTGTTAATTCTTATGGATATATATGAAAAGAAGGTAAAATATATAACATTGTATTGTTGTACTGACTGTAGTTATTTAATGTAAAGTAGTCACTGATTGAATGTTAGAAAGGGTTATTGTTAAAGTTGAATATAATCACATCAGTAAATTTTCAAATTAGTAGAGACTATAATTATGTTAAGGATTTTACTTAGCATAAATAGTTAATTATTTTCCATAACCTTACTTATTTATGCTAAGAATTAACATATGAAAATTCATTATGACTATTATATGCTTTTCTATTAACTGCAGGAGGACCTAGACAAACATTGAGACTTGTGTGAGGACATCCGCAGTGAATAAATTACTGGAACTGAGAAATGCCATTGTGCTTAAATCAAATGGAAATTTCTGAGCCCTTCAAGGGAAAATTTAATATATTTGCAGATTTAATTGTAATGTGAAAGTTAGGAAAGTCATGAGAAATTAGAATATCAGATGAGAAGATAAGGCTATTGTGAATAGTGTAAAATGTAACACTTGTACTCTATTTGTACAATTAATACCCATAACTATTTTCGAAGGCTGTGTAACTTCCCCCGCATCCGCAGCCTTGAGGCAAGACTTATTTTAATAAGTTGACAAACACTGGCCATATTGCGTTACTTTATCAGAGTACACTGCAGTATAATGCTTCCTTTATTCCTTGCAGTGTTAACTTACATTTTTACCTAATTTTTTATCTAATTTTGTATTTATGTTTGTGATGTAAATGTGGAATTAAAATTGAAAATAAATAGAAAATTTCTACAAGGTAAGATATTCTTTACCTCACAATGTATTGTATTAAATATTATAGATTAGTTAATTCTATATTAATTTGTAGGCTGTAATTATATGTTGCATTTCAGTCATAACATTTTAATGGAATAGTGGTATTAATAAATTAAAATGATGAAAATTTGATTTTTCAACCCATCCACCTTGGTAGTAAAATGGCCAGATGTGTTTATTATAAAAAAATAGATAAAATTAAATTTATAAATTACAGTCATTTAAAATTTAGTACAGAAATAAAAAAGGTAAAATAAATACTGTATTTCTACATACTCGCACATGCATGCACAAGCGCGCACAATAGCATGCACGAACACAACACCGGAACTGTGATTTGACACCATTAACCATATACATGAATAGGCGATAACACATTGAATCATCAGCCACACAATGTAATGCAAGAAACTATAATGGGAAAGAAATAGAGCTCGAGGCTTTTTGCTCCTGAAAACGAAACCCTTTGACTGAAGCTAAAACGTGGACAACTTATGCTTTTTCCCAAACAATTTAGATTCGCGTACATAATTTTAAACTTTTACAATATTATACTACATTCAATTATACTTATTGTCATTTAGGTCTTTAAGTATACAGTAATCTAGAACTTAAAAAAGGCATTTTCAACGATAATGGATATTATTTTCAATGCCACGACCATCTCCAACTGAGGCAGGTTGACCTTAAAAGAAAAACAAAATTTTTTTTTTTTCTTTCAACTAAATGGCCATAGCCCAAAGGTTGGGAAGCAGGGGGCCCAAAATATAAACAAAGTTTCTCATTTTTTAGTAATGTAACAGGATAATGGGGTACAAGCCCTTACTCCTGGCATTTTAGTTGGCATCTTACAAACACACATGGCTTACTGAGGAGGATTCTAAATCCATTTCCCAAGGAGAAAGTAATGGATATATAGAACAATCAAACAAACATTAAAGTTAGGATTTCCAAGTTTTATTAATATTGAATAAGAGATGTGCTGTTGTCACCCTTCATGTCTGATCACATCACACCCTCAATAATGCCAAGCTAAAGATGTCTATAAGAAATCTTATGCGAAATATATGAAAAAATCTATTCCTTTGTCAAAAAGCAGGTTATTACACCTAACGGTGATGTTTCAATGAAAGTGCATAAGAGCACATAATCGACCATGACATTAGCTTCTTTCCTGCACTGCGCAGTGAGCTGAGACCCTGTGACCCGAGAAGAGTGTTTAAGAAGCTCTGAATATTGCGCTTCTGTGCTGCCTTTTGTGGCTTGGTGTGTGTGGTAGAACAGCAGCAATAGTGGAAGTGAACCCCCAACTCCTCAGTCTTCCTGCAATAAAAGCTTAAAGTTAATAGGAAGCACAATACCAGATAATACAATTTTTCAGCAATATTAATTAACATTATTATTTGTATTAATATCACTGCCCTTGCTGTGGAATCTCTAATGTTTATAAAAACTCGGCCCCGTTCAAGGAAGGTTCCTAGATGTTGGTGATTGCTACTTGATTTATGGATTTGGATCTGTGCGCTCATTCCCCGAATTAAGCCTGAATGCCTTTCCACATCCCCCCCCAGGAGTGCTGTCAAATCCTCCGGGTTTAGCGCTTCCCCCTTGATATAATAATAATAATAATAATAATAATATAAAAACTCGGGAAAATATAAATTATGATCAAGTCTAGGAATTTATGAGTCATGTACAGCATATATGTTTTAACCTCGTGTTGATTGAATGCTCTTTATGACCTCTTTAGTTTAGAAGTAAGTCTTGTGTATGAGAGCGCCAAGTACATAAAATCTACCTTCACCAAGTCCACCATGTTTGTTAAACCAAATTAAATATGTGGATGTACAAAAAATAATGCTAGGGTGTTGGTCGAGAGGTGTGGGATTAAAACGAGGAATTTTATAAACAAATGGGATCTGTCCACAGTTGCTATTGCTGATGACAACTGATTCTTTTGGGAGATTCTGAAAGAAGTTGTTAAGTTGGTGACAAAATTGGAGGGTATGTTAAGAAGAAGGAAATTAAAGGTGAAGACAAAAGGAAAGATCAGGGAGATGAGGGAAACAAAAAATATAGGTATGAAAATGAATCTTGAAATATAGGGAGTGTTACATGTCGCAGACGGGGTTCATAACATATGAGGTGACCCATGAGAATAGATTAAGGGAAGAAAAAGGTGGATGGTACCTATTGAGGCATCTTTTGGAGACAAAGAATGTAATGCCATGGAGCAAAAGGGGAAATGTAATGCGGGTATAGTGATACCTAACACTCTTATATGGGGTGTGAAGCTTGGGATGTGAATGTAGCGCAAGGAGGAAGCCGAGTAACTGGAGATTGTCAGTCTGAGGACAATGTGTGGGTGTAAATATTTATGCAAAGAATTTGTAGCTTGTAGGTCTAAGATGTGGTTTTGATGTTAATTTGACATGAAGATATGTGGAGGCAAAATAAGAATGACTGTGGAGGTATAAAAATCTGAAGTGAAAGGATGTAGGTCATGCCCAAGGTTAGGCCAAGCGAAAGAATTCCAAGTATTAAGATCCCGAAGAAGTTGCAACTTCTTTTCCTCAATCAAAGATATCCAAGAGTTGCACATGTGTCTAAATTATCAATGTGTCGTTTCCCTGAACCATTCATCTACAATCCTGTCAGGACATGCAACTTCTTGGGATTCTCAATAATTGGAGTGAAAGGAAGGATGGATAGGAGTCACCCCTAAGTAAAAGTTTGGAGGAAGGGGTAAATGTTTTGTGTGCAAGGACACTCGGACAATTCAGCCAGATGTTGTGTAATCATATTAGTAGTGATGAGGCAAGTGATGTTTTGGGACCTGATGAGATGTGCAGTATGACCAATGTACATATTTGAAGGATTCAGGGAATGCAAGTTTAGCCAAACCTTGATTACACTGAAGGAGGAGTGGGGATATTTTCAATCTGGAGGGGCATCTGAACTGTGGTATCGGCTCACCTCTGGCAAGACAAGTGATGTAATGAATGATGAAAGTGTTTTTTTTTTTGTGGGGGGGGGTGGGCTCACCCCAAGAGAAGTGTGGTAAAGGAGATTGAGCTGCAAGGGGCTTAAGCAATCCAGCAGAATGTGAGCGCTGTTTGGAACGGGAAATGGCGATTAGTTTTTTATTGCTTATGCATGCTGCTGGAATGTGAGCAAAACAACGTTTATGAAGGAATTCATGGGGAAATCAGTTTGACTGAATGTTGAATCTCCTTGGAGGTGGACAGTACAAATGCCTGCAACTCTGAAGAAGGGATGAGTTGATTAACTGAGCAGTTTTGGAGAGTCATTGAAATGGTATCTACACACCTCTTGCAAGACAAAATGAAGGATGTTCATCGATTTTTATTTGGGGGCTTCATCCTACCCTTTGTGAGATATATAAAAGTGCTGGATACACACAAAAACTGAAATATGATCACCGCACATCGAAGCAGATGGTGCGAGCGGGTCTGCCATGGCTGTCAAGATTAGTACACATGATAGCATCAGAACATCATGCCAGGACCACGGAGTTTTCATTCCTGCAGAGGAAGGGCAGACATTGGTCCACTACAATCTATCAGTGGCTGTGATTATGATACAGTCAATGTGTTAAATGATATCCAAACTACGGATATATCATTCAACCATGTTGATTAGTTTTCTGTTGTATATTTAGTTTTGTATATATATGTACCTCCATTACAACACTACATGAGTGTGGTGTGTGTGTGTACTCACCCTAGTTTGTGGTTGCATGGGTCGATTCAAGCTCACTGGCTCCATTGTAGGTGAGTGTGTGTGTAGTTACTCGACCTAGTTGTGGTGGCAGGGGTCGAGAACACAGCTCCTCCTGCCCTGCCTCTTCACTTGGTCGCTACTTATGTCACTCTTTATGCTTTATCATACCCTTCTTAAAAGTTAAGTATGGGATTCCAGCCTCCACTACAATCACGATCCCCAGACAAAATCCCATTTATCCTTGGACAACTTTGTGACAAAGAAATACTATCCTAACATCCCTGTGATTCATTTCATCTGAGTCTTTCAACTTCCAACTGGAGACGCTGTGTCCCCTTGTAGTTGTATCCCATCTCTGAACATCCTGTCTGTTCACCTTGTCAATTTCCTCTCAGTATTTTATAAGTCGTTATCAAATCCGCCCCTAAACTCTGATTACCTCGCAGTGTCGTCATTGAATTTCCCTTAACCACTCCTCGTAGGACATGCCCCATAACTCCGAAACTAGATCCTGTGGCAAACCTCGTTGCGCTTTCTCTAATTTCCTTACATGTTGGCCATAGGTCTGTGTGTGTTCCAAACATGTGCTGCAACTCCCAAATATGCCTTGACATACACGGATGTACAAGGTCGTGTGTGTGTGTGAGAGTGTGTGTGTGGTGTGTTGTGTTTGTGTTGTGTTAAAGATATCACCTGTCAAGAAAGCACCCAGACAGGCTAACTGTGCCCTGAGTTTTATCTTGTAGAGTGACTACCATAGCTGGCCGCATCTTGTATATATACCACGATTTCTTCCAGCCACGCCCATCAAAT